AGAGTAATTAAGACTGACCCAAATATCAAAAATATAATTCAGGTAGCATTCCCATGACTGTTGGTGGTCTATCCATATACTTGACTGGGTATCACTTGCACCAAGGCCAATTTGGTTGACTAGCTTGATATCAAATTTATGGATATAGGTAGGTCTGTTATCTTATTAGTTTTTGTTTACTAGTACTGCAAAATGAAAGCTGCAACTAAAATATACAGAATCTTTCCATACAGTTAGTGGACTTATATAGAAAAGAATGAAAAATAATAATTTGGAAAACCAAAGAAGAAAGGGATAAAATACAAAAAAGAAACTATAGAAAGATTTACTGCATCAAATATTCTACAGTTTTTCGTGTCCTGAATATAGCAAAGCTTTCTGCTTGCCTCAGCAAGCAGAAAACTTCATTAAAGTACACACTAGTGACCTGGTATAACACCAAATGCTTTAAGATATAGATCTGAAGATAGTGCCGGTAAGGCTTTGCATTTAGCTTAAAGTCCTCCACTTATTAGTTCTTTTTAATTTAAATATAGGCCATCAAACGTTCAAACTGACTCAAGATGTTATATATAAGAATACAAATAAAAGATTGTTGGTTTAATTTTGTCAAATTGGAAAACAAGCTCCTGTAGATAAAGTTGAAACAATTTCTTTGGGAAAAAATTGTAGTAATCAATGAGTAAAAAGGTGGAAATGCAAAAAAACCAAAAAAAAGCCAGTGAGGAATTTAAAAGGCCACCAAAAATTCAACTAGCATAACTTTTTTAAAGAGATGATGTCTGGTTAGCACAGAAGAAGCATGTATATTAGATGATAACAAAGAAAAACAAATGATAAATATTATTCTTCACGCTCTTTTGCCAGGTACCAGAGGAAGCAGAACCTGTGGAGAGGTTTGTTGATACTTTGTAGAGCATGCTGGAGTAATTTACAGTCAATGTTTACAATCTGCCTTGCAAGCGAACTCTTTTGAACCTTCTCTCCAATTTTTAATCCTTCTAGAACATGCGTCTGGCACATTTCAGCAAGTTTCTTTTTAGCGGGAATAAGACGCTGCTGCAACCTCTTTCTTTCCTTCCATTCCTGTAATTACAAAGATAGGGATTACCAACAAATACCTCATAATGATGCTACATCTTTGAAACCCACAAAATCCTTAATTAATTGGTTACTCCCCTGAAAGAAACATCATTATATAGGTAATACCGTAATAACATCAACCAAAGCTTAATTGAACTGGACAGTCCATTATTCTTTAAAAGTTAGAAGTTCAGCTATAAATTCCTTCTAATATTTAATAAGATTACACAAGTTATTGGAATATATTTGTCAAGCATGACCTTAAGCAACTATAGCATGTGCAGCAACTACCATTGTGATAACTTTGCTTTTCCTTCTGGACTGTAATCAATATAAGGGTAAATGACAGTCTAATTCTCAAATAGCAGTAAAAAGGAGCAGACCTAACCAGCTGACGCCTTTCTTTCTTTGGTCTCATATCAGAACGTAAATTCAGCTCCAGTAGACCTTTTGGAGGAGTTATCAACATTTCTCTCTTATCCATGTCCACTTCAGGAACTATTGCTTCAACAAATGGAACCCATACATGTCGACCACAAGAAGTTGAATCTAGTCTATCATCACTGGCAAGCATGACTTCGAGAAGATCACTAGCGCCAAAGTTGAATACATTAGCAACTGTACCCACCAGAGTGCCTGATTCCTGAAGAAAATAGTATATATTAAGCTTACTAGGTTAAAAAAGAAAATTCTCTGTCAAACTAGAAGAACTAAAAAACAAACAAAAGGGTACATAATATATTCTTCAAATGTGGAATAAAAATATGTAGAAAACAAGATTTCAATGGGGGAAGTAGGTGACCTAAGTTCACGAACCAAGTCATTTTACAACAAATACATCCTTTAGTAAGGTACAGGAACACACACACACACACAAAAAAAAAAGAGCAGTCCCAATTTAATAATCAAACCAAGGTCTTCCAGATTCTTGATGATGCACTTAAACATCCACAAAAGTGATCATTTAAACTGCATCTAACAGATCATATGAAAGATGAATGAAAAGAGACTTTAGTGCATTGTGTAAAAGCCTAGTCATAAATTTTATGCACTCATCAAGTAGATAGGAAACTGTTTTACTAAATGGATGATATAATTTTAAAAACTAGACCTTCAGAACAACTCGCATGCCAACAAGATCAGGGGTGTAGAGTTCGCCTTCCTCCAGGTCTGGTCTGTCATCTTCCTTTACAAGAAAAGTTGACCCAACAATCTGCTTAGCCTGAATTAAAGACAATAAAGAAATGTTGTTTAAGGCAACATACATATCCACTAATGTTCACTGAATTAACAATCTTCAAGTTGAGTGAACATGCAACTCTAAATTTCCATTTATGTGATAGACTACATATTATTTGACTTCTGCATTCCCGAAATTGAAACATAACCAGCAAGTGTAGAAAGAATCAAGTTCCCTAGTATGACGATTATATTCTCGACTACTACTGTAAGATCTCACCGAAACTTTAAGCATTTCAATGTTGACAATGACTGACCTGCAAAAAAAAGTTATATGGTGTTTTAAAAGCTCAAGAACTTATTTAGCTGTGCCTACAAAGAAGCAGATCCAAACTACAAGGGAATACAAAGTTACAAACTATGTCCCAGCCATGTCCCTCTTCAGACTGAGAAAAGACTTTGTATGGAGGCATAAGCTAGTATATCAGAACAAGTTCTTTGGTAATAAGTGCAGAATACCCTACAGCAGAACATACATAATAGATTTCAACTTTACTCCAACAGCTTACTTTTGCTAATAAACTGATTTTATAAAGGAAATATCCATGTCTTGTAGTAGGAAGCCTTTTAAGATGATGCAAGTTTCATATCAAGTAACTTGTCATGGTAATGCTCTAAAATACTATGATTCACTAAATTCCTTGATAACTATTCATCCTCATATTGCACAATGGTTTAGATCATGATATCTGATTATAACAAACAGTGTGAGGTTATTAATTTAGCAAGAGGCAAATATTTTTATGTTGACTATCACACTGTGTCACTCAAGCTACCTGAAGGTATCTATCTCATCCACTAATCCTGATCAGCATTTACCACCATTAAACACTCTGCAGTAAACTTCATATTCAACATATTAACACTCAGGTTAAACATAGTAGCTTAAAGTGTTAAACTGTTAATGGAGTAAGATATAATAAAACCACCCTAAGTTAACCATTCCACCACAGATAAACTCAAAGAAGTAATTGTACCTTGTCCACGGTGTCGATCCCACTCAAACTAACAATCCAACTCTTCTGCCCGGGATGGCCTCTCCCACCTGTAAGCTGCACTTCTGATATCAATTCCTTCCCTGAAATGCGGGTCCTCAACCATCTTGTCCCTGGCTATAACAACGAATTCACAGCAGGAAATGAATAAAAAGACTAAACCAAATCAAAACCCAATAAAAGCATGAAACAAGAATGCAAAGATTACTCAAATGAGAACCCCAGAAAACCAAACAGCCATCGAAGGTCACACATTTTCTTGCAAAGCTACAATAAACCTAGGAACTTCATACCGTGCAGAACCTAAGTTCCGGGAAATCCGTGCTTGGCATCACTCGAAGCTCGCCTTTGATCCCATGCGTGCTACTAACGTATCCAACCTCAACAAATTTAGCTTCTTGATCGTCACTTCCTTCTTCGCTCGAGCCAAGAACGCCTTCAGCCGCGACGGCTACCGGCCCTATCAAAAAGGGGGTTAAAGAGGCGGTATTGCCAAGTAAAGAGGGAAAAAGATGGTGAAGGGAATGAACCATACTCCGGCTAGAGAGTAGGGCAAGAATGGGGAGCGGGAGACGGGAGGTGGCGTCGAGGCGAGTTCTCTGCGGCCTGTGGAGGACGGCCGGGCCACGAGGGAAGCGCCAGTGGGGCCGTGGCGGGGGGAGAAAGGGGAGGGGAAGAGGACGAGGTGGTGCGAGGAGCGAAGGACGGTGCATCGAAATGGACTGACGAAGCGTAAGCGTGAGCAATTAGCTTGCTCGGTGCTGCGGGATGAGACGATGACAGAACCGCGGGGAGGATTGAGATGGAAGGCGAGTCGAAATATCTCTACAGGGCGTCTCCATCTCGCTTTGAGATCGGCGGACAGATTAGATGGTGCCTCTTCATGACGCTTCGCTTTGAGATCCGCTCGCAAATTAGATCGAACCCCTCCATCTCACTTTGAGATCCGCGCACGTATTAGATCGTGCCTCTCCATCTCGCTATGAGATGTGCGCACATATCAGATCGTGCCCCTCCATCTCGCTTCGAGCTCCGCTCATAAATTAGATCCTGCCCTCCATCTCGCTTTGAGATCCACGCATATATTAGATCGTGCGCTCCATCTCCGTTTGTGATCGGGGACACGCATCACATCCATTTGGCTTCCAGATCCACGCACAGGCGAGATCGCACCCATCTCTCTTTGAGATTCGCGCGCATATCAGATCGTGCGTTCCACCTCGCTTCCAGATCCGCGCATATATCGGACCTCCAATACGATATTTGGTCGTGCGCTCCATCTCGCGTCACTGCCTTTCATCTTTCTTTCAGATCCGCGCACATATGAGATGGCTTCCATCTCGCTTTGAGATCCACTCAACCACTTGATCGCGTCCCTCTCTCTCTCTCTCTCTCTCTCTCTCTCCCCTTGCCTATTTAAGAGTACCAGTACCAGTTCGATGGTATTAGAGTCTAACACAATAATAACCTATCTACTCTGGATTGCAGGCATTATTGGAAGAAATTGGTCTTCCAATTGGCACATTGAGATCCAACCCCAGAATCTGTTTCTCTTTTAGATTTAGCAACCCCAAAAAGCAAAAAATATTGATATGAAAACAGGATCCATTCCTACAACCTCTCAATCAAGAGTCGAAGATAAACTAGATGTATCCAAGATTTTCCACCACATAAACGGGCACATTTGAACAAACGGGGAGAACAACACCATTTTATTTCCATCATGACATTCCTGTACAAAGTCGAAAGAGGGAGAAACAAACATATCAAAGCTGTTGGCTTGAGCGTCAAACACAGGTACAGTGATTAGTAACCATTTCTCCAAATTACATAGCCAGCTCCAATAAACTAAATCTAAATCCGACACACATATTGTACATGTAAATGTTATTTCTATAGTTTGAGAGTGGAAAGGTGCATGCCTACAGGAGAGTCTGCAAGGTGAAGTCGTCAAGGCAAAATCTCCCGTGGAAAGAATGCTGCTACTCATTATTGCTGAATTTCTTAGCAATAATTGGACGAACATCCTCGACATAGACCAAGGTCTCAAGAAAGGGAAGTAACTGGACTAAAGCATGGTCCAAAGGATCCCCGAACCAACTCTCGATCGGTATCCCGTTGTTGACTTGCAAGCGAAAAACCTGAAAATAAGAAAGAAAAAATTGATAGAAAGCTTCAAAGTAATTATTTTACTGTTACAATAAAAAATTCTTCTGGTCATTATTGAAAAACAAAAACATGACTCTTTATATGCAAATGATAGTGCAGGTTTACATGGCTTAATCCACTTTCACCTATGATGCAGACCAACCACTAAGTATCAACACCCAGGCAAGAATTGGAGAACATTCGGTTGTTCACTTTGTGCAATTATATGCAAATAATAGCAGCTAATACTCTTCGTTTAACTAGTCATATTCCATTATACAGAGCTAAATGGTGGAATGAAAAACTTTGTAGTCAGTCTGAAATACTTAGGACATTGTCGCAAGGTATGCAATACCGTACCGTACCGGTGTTTCGAGGTTGGCTCGGTACGATATGGTACCGGCATACCGAACGGTATACCAGGGCGTACCGAGTAGTACACTAAAGTTTACCGAGCGATTTTAAATATTTCTTCCTCTTACTGTAGCACTGTAGCACGGTCCGTCCAATAGCGGATGGTCCGCGTACCGGTATACCATCGGACCGGTATGTACTGCCTGTACCGAGCGATACCATTCGAAATTACATACCATGCATTGTAGTATATTGTTGTTACCATAGAAGTACATAATGCTGGGTTCTCTTTTTGGATCGGGATAGGAAATAAAGCAAGCAATCTTTCCTAAAGAACTCCAATTCAATAGGATTACAAAGAGCAGAACTACAAGAAAAAAAAATAATAGAAAACAACCTACAAATAAACAAGAACAAGAAACAGAACAAAATACAAGTAAAGCAAATTAGCAACAAATGAATATGGCTTGTTGATTAGCTACCTACAATAATTTTTAAGACTTCTGTAAAATCACATATTTTGATTCTGACATTAAAAAACATAGGATACAGGAGATCAAATACCTGTGGAGTATTGTCAATTATGACAACTTTTGCCAGGTCAACTCCCAAAATGGTTAGGTCCTTGGTATAAGTACCGTCAGAGAAGATGCATGATTCACGATATATACGCTTTGAGATTATCTTTCTGTCTGGATCCAATATGTCCAGAAGCTCTCCAGCATATATGCTTTGAGCGGCAGTGAATATAACAATTTCAAACATCTGAGCTACGCTGTCAAGAAACATCTGCAGAAAAGGTCTCTGTCTTACATATACTGTGTGATGTTTCATGTTAAAGAAAACTGGAAAGGTGAAATCAGCATCATCACATTGTTCCATGGTAGAATGGACAAGAGTTTCTGCAAAGACAGAAAAATAAATAAAGCAAAGTTTTTGAACACTCTAATTTGACATCTGAATCACTAAAGTAGACCAGGAGGATTTTCTTCCTCTATTTTCATCTCAAAATAATAACAATAATACAATAGATCAAATAACAACAACAATTCAATAGATCAAGTAACACATTTGTCGCATGAAGATATCCAACTATATGGAAAGAGGAAGGTATATGCAAGACTCTTACCATCTAAATCAAGTACAAGGGTTACAGGCATCCTTTCTTGTGCTTTCTGAGGTGATAAAATGGATGAAACTGCCTGAGGTAAATCAGGTAATCGATTAAAAACCAACAGTTGATCAAAGCATTCTATCTCTTCCAAATTGCCAAAGTTGCATTTATTTTCATTTTCAGGATGAACTGCCAAATACAAAGAAGCTTCGTTGAAGTTCATCATGGTCTCCTGAACTGAGTCATCATCATCTCCAGTTTCCACTGTCCTCTCAAGGAAAGGAAGAATCATATATCCCTCCCCCATGTCAATCATTATGTCAGAGTTCATATATTCATTAATAGGGCAAGTGGCAGTTATAACATCAGTAACTTCAACACTATTGTCAAAGGGACAACCAGAAATGCTATCAGAAATGTAGAAATCTGATAAACTGCAAGTTTGATATTCGCTTGAGACACAGGTAGCATCATCAATTACATCTGCAACCAGATGAGGCAATTTGGTGCCTTCATGAATGCAATCAGTTATGAAATCCGATAAACCACAAGTCTGATATTCACTTGAGACACAGGTAGTATCATCAGTTTCATCTGCAACCAGATGAGGCAATTTGGCGCCTTCATGAATGCTATCAGAAATGTAGAATTCTGATAAGCCACAAGTTTGATATTCACTTGAGATACAGGTAGCATTGTCAGCACCATCTGCAACTAGATGAGGCAATCTGGTGCCTTCATATTTTGCTGCAAAACCGGAAAAATATGCCATAGTTGACCATTAATCATATAGAACACACCCAAAAAAAATGAAAGATCAGCATTCGTCAACTTGACCATCAAGATAGATTACAGAAAAGAAAAACACAATAAGAACATAATATAAAGAAGCAAAAAAAAACATACAATATATATGCATCATATTTTATAAGAGTGGAGATTTGCAACAGAAAAAAGACCCTCCAACAAAAGAATAGATAACATTATATGCATGGTAGATGAATAAAGTCATAAACCAACACTAAGTACCTTCATCAATGTAATTTGCCGACTTCAGGAGAGATGCACGGTGCTCAAGATCAGGAGAGAAGATTGTTTCAAGGTTAGATGGATTTGTTTCTGATAGTATATCCTGCAGTCATAAATAACAAGTTCAGCAAGGCCATAATGGAAAACCAAACTCCACATACAAATTTTTGGAAAGAAACATCTCAATTTCTCAAAATTTTGGAGAGATTGACCATAATCAAAACTAGCACACGCATTGTAAGCTATAATATGTCCAAAAAGATCTAGCTATGATTCCGAAAATTTTCAGAATAAATTCTAGCTATGATTTTAAGCAAGGTATATGTGACTATCATTTAACAATATTAAATAGATTATGATATTTAATACCAATCATTTAACAATGATAGAAAAATAACAATATTAAAGATGATGTGTTATTGCGAGCAATGCTCATGGGGACATGGAAATAAGATATTAGATGGCTATAGTGATGGTAGCTAGCCTATTGAAATCCATCAGCAGCACTTTAACCAAAAGAGGAAGGAAGAAGATCTTTCTTGTTTTTGTCCTTAAAACGCTTGAAATCCTTGGTGTACCAAGTGTATCTAGTGTTCTAGACTAAACATAAACCAATATAAACCCTCAAATTCTCTCCCCATCAGGCCCCCATGTTCGTTATATTTTTAGAAGGTACGTAGAATTATAATTTACAATCTACAAATGATCAGTCCCAATCCCACACAAGCTCAATTACTTCCCATCTTGCAGTATCCACTAGTGATATACGAATATCAGGTGTCTGCTTTGATACTATTGAATCAAGCAATTTGCTGTTGGTTTTCCAAAAAATGTATTATCAAGTCAGACTAAGCACTTGGATCAAGTGACAGTAGGCCAATCAAGTCTTGTGAGAAAGTCATACATTTTTTCCCCGTATAGGATTACTTGAGATTTTCTTACAGACAGAGATAAGGGGTGAGCCCTGATGTTATATGTTATACAGAAAAATGCCAATTTATTGTCAGAGATTTTGGTTATGGCATAGCAAACAATAATATTATGCTTACACCTGAGCATCAACAAAATTTTCAGAATTTACACGGAGGAAAAAAGATATCGTGCTTAGAAACCAAATCTCATTCAGATAAAAGATCTTACACGGATCAAGAAAGAACATAATGAAATAAATTGAATTGACAGAGAATTCAAATATTAGAGTAAGTTGAAATGCCAGTAAAGTGAGAACTAGTACCGATCTTCTGATTGATACTGGATCAAGTGAAAATGGGGATGCGTTCAGCAACTGAATGTAGGGTCCATCAAATCCAGCAAGTGTCGAGTTGCATACAGATACTTCTTTATTAGAAGAAGCTGCAGTTGCAAAACTTATCTCATATTTAGAACACAACCTTGAGCAAACTTAGTCATAACTCATAAATTAAAAAAATATATATGTATCAAATAGTAATAAGTTTCTGAATAGCACCGGAACGTCTATTCACTCCAAAGACACTCTTATTTCATATTATTGTTAGGCCCCTGCCTATCTTTAATTTTAAGATGGGGGAAAGAAATACCTTCAGAACTTACAGCACCAGGAGAATCCAAATAAACAATGCATTAACGTTTCAGTAGCATGAATTATAAATTATATGCTATGCTACTATTCTGTGTGAGAAACAAATATGAGATTAACAATGACCAGAACAAAAGAGAGATTTTGCTTAATGTTAAAGCATCAGCAAGTGAGGTTGTCTTGCAACATTTAATTTTGATGCCAGGTACACAATGAGTTAGAGGAGCCCAAAATAAGAACTAATACTTTGGTATTACCGATTTCTTAAAGTCCACACAAGCCTAACCAATTTTGTGAATGACTAAAAACACATCAAGTCACTTCGGACATACTCTTTGACAGGAACAATAAATTTTAAACAACATAAGATGACAGTCTTTAGGATTCTGTTCCTTCTTTATATGTTGAAAAGTTCATTACACCTAATGGCTCACCATTTTGTTGGGTTTGGAAAAATGTATCCAGTTCTGTCTCTAGTTGAAACGTCTTGACCTGAGTTTGTGAGCTTTTTGATGTTTTAGCTGATTTGCGACATGTATGAAGATCATGCAATCTTAAATATTCTGAGTTTGATTTGCTTTTAATTCTGAATGCCGGCATTTGAGCTTTACATGTAATTCAACTTGAGAAGCATCAACTGCAAAATAAGACAACAGACACATTTCTTATCAGATTCAGTCGGCCGTTACAAACCAGAATTTTTCAATGCATAAACATACAGCAAACTCAATTTTGAAACAAAATTTCTGTTAGATCCATTTAAAGGATTAAATAAGTAGGTTTCTACACTCTCATTTCTCAAGAGAAGTTATGTTTGCATAAATTTATTACATCAGATTTCTTTTCTAAAAGATAAATATATAATACTCTCAACTGCTATAGCAGCCAGTAGCAAGCATCCCAGCATGCATGGCTCACTGACATATGAATTTATGTCAGAAGAATACTGCTTCACTGGAGAAGATACAGAAGTTGGGACCAATAGTAGCTGACGGCCTAATCTGAATTTCTTTCAGACTGAAGAATTGACACAATAGTGCTCCAACAAATACAAATTTGTAGAATTTTAAATTTTAAGTATGATGCATGAACAAGAGATCCATGCACACACAAAAAATTTAGGTATCTTGGATGTATTATTCAACAAGGAGAGACAGATAAGGATATTGTTCATGGAGTAAAAGCTGAGTTGTTAAAGCAAAAAGGGACATGACGGTTTTGTCATGCAGCCATCATGTTCCAGAAATATTTTATAAAATAATTGTACGGTTGGTAGTCTTTATGGATCAGAGTATTGAGCAATAAAAAAATAATATGCATGAAAAATTAATGTAATTGAGATTAAAATGTTGAGTTAGTTGTGTTGAGTTATAGGATAAGATGACAAAATAAATTATTTCATATGAAAGTAATTAGGTATTGCCTCAAAAGAGGATAAAATTAGTAAAAATATAGCCATATTCAAAAGGATGATGTACGTTTACTAAGATCGATGGTGTAAGGAAAGACAAAAGGATTTATTAGATACAATAAAAGAAGATTCAAATTACATTATTAAGAGTTCAAGAGTTCAATGATGGAAAAAGATTCATGTGGTCGACTCAAAAAATTTGAGACATTAGAGCTTGTTATATCATAGTCACTCTATTTTTTTTTTTTTTTTTTTTTTCATAGTATTCTTGTTGTTTCCGCTGTGTTAATTGTTGATGCACCATGATCTTTAAGTTTAGGGCCCAGTACAGACGTCAACTTAACTGAACTATATTCAAGTACAAAATAAGATAAATGTGCATCAGATCTTGCTAGGCCAGTGCATATGTATGGGATGATAGTCCCCTGATAAATCTATTCAAGTCTCCTCCCATCTTTGACCAGGTACTAAAGCAGGGTGTTACATTGTCACTTAAATGGATTTTGCTAGGCTAATTTGTTAGGAAAAAAATTGTAAAAGCTAATGAAGATTGAACAATGGAAGCATATTTCACAACACCAGTGGCCCTTAAGCTATTAAAATAAAGCTAAAAGATAAGTAGTGACGACAAATCGAATAACTACCATAAAAAGGTCCCACTTAACAAAAGACTGCTACATCATCATAATATTCTTAGAGCAGCATGGATAGATGATCTGTTCAGTGTCAAAGTTCCTTACCGAAAGCATTGCCAGAGTTTTACCACAAGAAACATAACAGAAACAGATATGACAATGGTAATCTCTACATGTCCTAGTTGTTGCTTACAGCAACTGATGGATAAAATAAATCTGCAGGCAAAATAATGCTGTTACTTTTGGACTATCATGGTCCAATGGGATGCACCAGACATGGGCAGGTAGGTACCGTAAAGATGAATCATCAGATCTGTAGCACTCCAAAAGAGAAGAAATGACAAAGATAATCTGTATATGAGTTACTTGTTACTTACCACAATGGACAAGATACAATAAGCAAACACAGTTATCCAAGATCACCTTCCTTAATATGCACAAGAATTCCTTCCAACCTAGAATGACCTGCAGAAGGAACCGCCAGTTAGGTAAAAACAGCAGAACGAAAATGAAAACACTTACAAAAGAAACATATGCTACGTAGCCGGCTGTTAAATGACTAAGGACTATATATAAAGCTAGAGTAATTCCATGAAAACTGTGCAGAACCTGACAGGTCACTGTTGCATCTCTTCTGTCTCACCATTAAACATAAAAATTCTTAGATTAGACTCTTCAATTATGGAAAAAGTATCACCACGTAATAGGAATTCTCGTCACCACAAAAGAACAAAAGGTGCATTTTTCAACCTATAACAGAAGGCCCAAGCAAGCCAACCGTATAAGTTTCCGCAGAGTAAGTCCTATCCAGCTCGGGCATCAGAATCCAGACAAACAATCACAAATAAAATTATCGACAAAAAACCTAAGACTAAAACCCTCAGTTGCTGCTAAAAGATCATCTAGATGACCTTCCGGAAATAGCAATAATTTGGTGAACGCGTGTAATATCAAGTAAAACTGAGAAGAAACTAGAGGTCCACAGCAGATCCATGCAAAGCCAAAGAAATACAACCACACAAGAGTAAACTGAAGGGGTATATTAATCACCAAGTGAAGTTGAGCACAAAGATTTGCGCTAACTTAATGTCTACTGCGAAGAAGTATGAGTGCAAAGGGTCAGGCTAAAGACATCATAAGTAGACAAAAAGGAATAACTCGATCCCAAGCTACAAACAAAACCAGCGACCTAATCTCACAAAGTCGATCAATCGACAGCGTCAAAATCAGCGCCCAAGATCTTGCAAGGGAGTACAGGACCCCTAGAGAACCAAAGTTGCAGGTAAATCCAACAGGGCGAGGGTCAACCGTGAGAACCAGAGTACCGCTCCACGGCGTCTAAATGAACTAAGAACCAAGGGGTTTTGACGAAGAAAACAAACGAACTAACCAACAAGTATTATTACCCCCGAACAATTGAAACCCGGAAATTAAGAAAAGAAACGAATTTTGGCAGCTGATAACGCAGTGATCATCATCCAACAGAAATTCCAAAGCCCGCGATCCAGTTTCCAAAGACACAGAGAAGCAAGTCCACAAACCCAAACACCGACCATGAATCAAACAACAAAAGATCTAAAAGTTCGAAGAACGTTGACTTCACGAAATCTACAGACAATCAAAGACGACCCAAGGTAACAAGATCAAGATCAAAGACACATACTTAACACGACTCTCTCTCTCTCTCACTCTCTCCTTGAGCTCGAATTGAGGAGGCGAGCGTAAGCGAGGAGACGAGCGGATAGAGAGAAGGAATTGGGATCCCACGAGTCCCTCTCTCTCTCTCTCTCTCTCTCTATATATATATATATATATATATATATATATATATGAAGACCCTTCGCCGGAAAGACCTACGAGATCTGAAACGAACGGTCGCGATTCGACGTCGCTTGCCTAAGCCATGCCCGTATGTGCGCGACGCGTGAGCGAGGGCGGTCGGGACCAACACCGCGGGCCCCACGTGCGAGGGTTGTGCAGGATCTGCTGTATCTCCGCTTTCATCGAATCGGGCACGTCGACGTAAAGCAACGTGACGCGTGTTCCTCGTGGTTCAAAGTCTGAACGCGTCGAGTGGATAGGCGGATTTGAAGATTGCTGGTGAAGACGTTAGGAGGCCAGCGAACAAGACAAGGGTCGATATGTTCACTCCTTTTTTCTGCCTGAGATGTCTGCGCCGCAGACGAGAGGACGGGAGTACGTTAAACGAATCATCGGAGTGTGCGTATCACTGTAGACTGGGGGAATTATAGATTGAAACCCACACAGAAAACGCGGTTGACGAAATCATCGACTGCAGGTGCGTTGCACGTGGTTTGTTTAGGCTCGTGTCGTATGGGGAATTTTATGAATTTACTTTATAATATTAATTTATGAGGGTAACAATGACAATAAGATTCGGGTTGATGTCAGCTGCTTCAAATGACGCCTCGCGCCTCTGTTAACCTAACAGCACCTGGTCAATACGGATCGAAACGTCGACCGAGGCACATTAACATCCCGCTCAGGCTCGGTCCTTCACGTCACGCCAACGTCGATGTCAGACGTTATCAGGAGTACGATCATGCTCCCTACAAGCAGGCACATCAGGCAATAGTAACCTTCACTATAAAAACCCTCGCGCTCTGAGGAAAAGTGAGAACAAGAAAAAAAAAACCCCTGCGACTATTCACTAACTTGATTGTCGGAGGGGTCTGGCCAAGCTCTCCCAACCCGACCTATGTGCAGATGCGAAGACGAAGGCCTCCCACTAAACGCCCAAGTGAGGAGCCCCCTCCCGGAGGAAACGGTGACCCCTCCGCGATCGAACCACCGCAGTCGATCTTCTGCAGTCTCAAGGGTCGTCCCAAGAAGATTCCCCATCGTTCGGATCCGAACCAAGCCGCGTCACCCCCGAAGCCACGCCTTAAAGTTGTTTATACTAACAAATATTTTTCCAACTCCATATGAAATTAGAGATGACAACTCGAACCCAATCAAATTAGAGTATATTTTCCTGATCTGAAATATATTGGGAGCTCCCTGAGTTTTTAATCGTCGTCTAATTCTTATCTTTTGGGTTTGAATTTCTAATTACAGATGTTATTTTCATAACTCATGTCCTAATCATTTCGATAGTGTGATATAATCAATCAAATCAATGAGTCAATGACAATAATAATACTAATAAATAATCCTTATCCGTGGCTTTTATAGATGATAGGCTAATAAGCTATGCATGCCACCAGTTCACGTAAAACTCGAGATATATCTGCCAATCATTAAATGATCTAAGTTAATCATTGCAGCTTTTATAGATGATAGACTAAATGTTTCGTTTTTATAATTATAAAGGTGTCAATATAACTTTTTAAAATGTAATGATCAAAGTATTAAGGATAACTAATTAGAGAGGTTAATTTATAATTAGAGATTGATACAATTGATATTTTTGATTGACTATGATTTGATGGGTTATTAGGCGAGAAACAAAGTAGTAAGGGGCATTGAAACAACTGAATCTGAATTTTTTTCTTTATATATTAATGTTATGTTTCATGTGTTAATCAAATTTGTATGCATCGCATCAAGCTTAATTTATTCCTCTTAAACAGATAATATCACAAGGAATAAGATAATCTGTTTTCATTAGAAGCTCCAAGACTACGTATGTACTAAAGTAATTATTAGTTTAATACGGGTATAGGAAGACACAAATTTATGTCCGAAACATGTAGCACTGCTAGCTGTTTATACTGTTGCTATTCAGTGTTAGAACATATGTAAATAAAAATATTAAATCTTATCAACATAAATAGATAATTATATTCAATCAAAATTTCATTCTGATTTTGCCCAAATCATATATCATTCTTGCAACACCTGGTTATTATAAAGGATCGATATTTATTTATCAGATTTGATCCTTACTGTTTGCTATCAAACAGTAAAAAATCTTAACCAGTAAAGTTAACTACAATCCATTTATCATTTCAAAAAAAAATATTTATCTATATCTAGAGTTGAATTTATGGTAAGGGGTCCAGTGTTCTTATTCAAACACTAGGTGACAAATGGCCTACTCGGATCCCAAATGGCCAACATTCATGGATTATTATTATTATTATTATTATTATTATTATTATTATTATTTTATCATATTTCACTAAAAAGGTCGAAGGGAAATATTGAATGAAGCTATTCGCAAAGATCAACTTGGATCTCAAATGAAAATAACCCTGAAAGAATCGTCGACTCCAACTATCGACCATACACAATTCATACTACATCCAACCAATTATGCATCCTATATCCTTTGCATTCTTAACAACTCATCTCTTTTCATCTCAATAGATTATTTTGATAGTATCTTTCGTTCTTCTGGTTACTTGGTAAAAGTGAGGCAGGACGATCACATGATAAAGAATCCAAGGATTCACCATGTGCTCAGAATTAATTCAATCAATGCTGCATGATGCGCTAAGAATCAATTAGAAAGGTCAATCAATCCTGTATCAGTGATAATGTTGGCCACTGACGATGGGAAGCTTCAAGATAAAAGTTTGGTCAGAGATAAAACGATCATCATTTCCCCACCTACGAGATTAAAGTCCGCTGCACGTGCCCCATCCTATACGGCCTCCGGTCCCCAACAGAGAGGACGGGATGTTCGCCGACGGGCACACCACGGTTCGCTGTACCCAACCCACAACTTTCACCAGCTCACACCACCGTCCTCGGCGCGGCCCCCCAAAACCCCGTTCCTGTCTCCTCCATCCGCATCCTTCCCACCAGCATCACCCGTATCTCAAGGCATCGTCGCCGTCCCGCGACACGTACCCAACGAGCGCCCGTTTTGGTTGCTGTTGGGCAGCTCGGTTTCTTTTGGATCGAGGACGTTTCTTAATCCCACCCCCCCACCGCCCTGCCCCACACGTGTAAAGTTGGTTCGCCCTAAACGGCGCTTGCGGTGTACTCGAATTGTGTATATAAGTCGCCAAATCATGCAGTGGGTGGATCAATTTAAAGTTAGTGATTTGGAATGCGTACCTTTTAGAGACTTCGGTGCCGATCGCCTGTTTAGCTCCTACACCAAACACCATCACTCGTATAACGATAAAAGATACGGAGAAGCCTACACAAATTTCCCTGTAAAGCCACGTCATACCTGATCCGAATTGCCCCACGGAAGCCTTCCTCCGTTTATATAACCCACCGGAGAAGCGAGCGCTGCTTGGCTACCCCGATGGAGTCGCCAGAGCCATCGTCCCGCCTCGCTCGCTGCATGGCCTCCCCGTCGTGGTTCCCGCTGCAGCGCGGCCACTCGCGGTTCCACCTCCTCCGCCGCGCCGTCGGCCTCGAGCGGAGCCGCAGCTGGCGCGATCTCCTCAAGCGGTTGCTGAAGGAAGGCAGGAGCATGTACGGGTCCAAGCAGCTCAATTTCGGTTACGACGCCGACAGCTACTCCAAGAACTTCGATGACGGCCGCTGGAACGAGCGATCTGATAGGTTCGTCGAGGACCGGCTGTGGCAGCTCAAGGCTCGTTAGAGAGCTTGTAGTTGCATTGTCTTCCTTGTGCTGCTACCGCTGCTTCTTGTTCTTTTTGTTCTCCTTGCCTTCAATGAAACTTTCGGATACTTTGTTGTGAATAGTCACAGAATCCTGTGTGTAATCTCTGGATGAGCAAATGTGAAGCAGAAAAGAGAGAATGTAACCAGAAAACAGAGGTGTTTTTATGTTTCATACACAGTTCACCTGATGATAGTTGGATATTGGCAGTGACATCATCCTGCAGGCTGATTCTCGGATGAACAGTGTGAGGTAGAAGAGGGAATATGAGCGGGAAAAATACAGCTACAAGCGTCCACAGTCTCGGTTTGTTCTTTAGCAATCATAAGGTATGGCAGAAGACGCTGCATATAATCCAAATGACAGCAAAGAGAGGAGGAGCACAGCATCCCTACCAGTTTCCTGCATCGATCTCTATGTAACAAGAAAAATGGACCAACCACTATACATGAAAGCAACGTAGATGGATTAGGCCAACAAGCGAGGAATATAGACGCACCTTGGTGTTCTTTATACGCATCTGTGCTCGCGTTTACAAGCTTTGACCTGTAGGCCACAGCAATCTTAGTAGAGGTATGTCTGCAAGAGTCATTTCAAAGAAAAGATCTGTTTGCAAAGTCTCACTAGAAACAGATCTGATAAAATGGATAGGTTGCAGTAATAGATAATAGAAGAAGCAAGATGTCTATGACAAGAAGAAGATGGTCCCAAGGTATCTGGATCTTTATCTGCTATTGAGAGCCGTGGTAACTCTTTTGTTACCATGGCTTTAACACTAACAATAGACCAAATATATGAAAGTTCCATTTTCCTAGCGATCAGAGTTCATCCGCAATATATGCAGGAAGCTGAAGTGGAATGACTGATTTCTAATGTTTGGTGTGTTGGGGGTGGATGAATATTTATGAGAAGTTAATAGAAGAGAAAAAAGAGTTTACAGGACCATGTATTAAGTTACCAAACAATGGAGACTGCAGCAGGTTTTACTATTGACATCTGCACCCACAAACAACACGAAATCTGCAATGGTATTAACCTCAAACCTGTAGTTTTATCTCTGCTAGGTCTTGAGTTCTTGAAATAATGAGGACGTCAGAGTCAACCCATGGAATGTATCAGCTTCCTCGTTGGTCCCACTGCATCAAACCGGTTCTTGAGCTTGATCATTATAAGATTGAATTGCTAATAATCCTTCTTCCTCAGTCCAAATGCCTTTTAATTGCAAGATGGATTGGCTGTGGCTGAGTGCACAAAATGAGCATCAACAGTACAACGGAAAAATTGCTGGAACAACTGTACAAGGGTATCGAGATAGATTGGCTACTTACTTTCTTGGCCGCGTTTGTTAATTCTGGCTATGCTGCCTGCAGCTTTAGACTTGGATTTGCCTCTTTTCCGAATGATTAATGCATGATGACAGGGAGCTGGAAAAGAAGCTAATGAAGTGTTCTGTAAAGTGACATGCTGCCAATGAGAAATTATAAGTATTGAGAGGGTCAATGCAAAAAATAAGACTCCATTGGCAACTCTTTCTGGTGGCCACTAGGAGATGCTATGAGGTTGGTGGATTTTACCTGCTCATCTTGGATGACTCGTTGCTTTCATCATGTGCTCTTTATCTGTCATGAAGGAGATAGCTGAAGGCAATGATTTACACCTCTGCAGGAGTAGAACACACAACATGCTCAAACTTTTTTGAGGTTCTCCCATGGAAGGTTTGTAAACCAATGTAGATGGTCACAACACCCAACACAGGCTCTAGTTCCGAGCAGCCAGTGCAAAAGGTCCATACCTTCATGCCTCTGAGAAGAATTTTGCAACACTCCAGTAAAAATTTCTGTGTTTTAGCTTTTGAATGGAGTAAGAATAAGGAAGTCTCAAATGATTTTTATGTCTAGAAAAATAATGAAATATCAACCAAAAAAAGAACGGAAACAAGCAACTTCCTACTCAAACATTTGATATGTTATGAACTTATGATCTTAGAATCCTTACCTTGGAGGAGATGGAACATGTGAGATCTGTTAACAAGCAGTCAAGCACATGAGACAAAGTAGTTTACAGTTACATAGTAAACCTTACAGTAACTTTCAGTAACACATGGGAATTGTATGAAATGATTTCCAGCTAGTACCTGTCATATTACACAACAAAGGCTTCATTACAGCAAAGAAGTGAACCTGGTGATATCTTCAGAATACTTTTCATGCTATAATTACTGCAACGAAGTTATCTTGCCAATTGAGACATTCAACAAGTTATGGGTATCTACAAGATTTTTCCTTGGTAAGACAAGAGGAATCATAAAAAGCAAGGGTACCAAATGCAGGAATGTGTGAGTTACCAGAGAATTACCTATGGCTTCAGTAACCAGGCAGGCTCGTGGGAAAAGCAATCCCCCCAGCCACAAAGCTTTCTGACAAATAAAAATCAAGAAATGCAGCAAGGATAAAAGATGGACTTGGCCTTTTGACAAAAGAAACAAACTTCCAACAATCAAATAACTAATATTAGCAAAGATATATAAAGGGAATTAGAGCAACTTCATTTTTCAAATGTAAGATTCTGATGTGACTTCCCTCAAAATAACATAAAGAGGCGATACCAAAAAATCAACATTTTCCTAATCTTTTGGAGCTTCACATCCAGATACCCTAACTACTCATCTGAAAAAAAGTTACAACAACACATTTCCCATTTTACTGAGTTTTGTCGATTGCATGCACTGGAGCCACCAACCAATTTGCTGCAATCAGCAAGCAAATGATCCCAACATAAACCACAATGGATAAGCCACGCTTTGATTCCATGATACAGATGATCTTCCAGCAGAGATATGAGCAATCTCAAAACAACATTACCAGGTACAGTGCCTATGAGCCTTGAGGATATTTGTCACATTTCATTATCAATTATGTTCTTGATCATCTCTGGTGGCACAAGCCCTTCAGTACGGATGGCATCCTTGTTTGGGTCTGGACTAATGAAGTACAAAGTTGGCAACCCTCGTACCTGTTAGATGGTTACATGTTTAGAAGAAGAATTTTTTTTATGGCATGTTTAGAAGAAGATAATGATAACATTTGGTGCCATTTTTTTTTGTTTCTTTTGCTGATAGCTGACGATAGTTACCTGCATATCTCTGGCAAATTCGTATTCATCATCAGTGTCCACCTTCACAAAGAGTGCATTGCCTTCATATTCCACGGCAAGCTGCAAGAATGTGAAGAAGGAAAGAATAAATGATACTGTTGTTGATTTCGTAAACATTTGTTCCTCAACCTAGATGAAAATTCTAACCAATGATATCCCTCGTTGATTTTCCTGGTTATAGAGATGATTGGCACTTAGTAGGAAGTTGATATTGACGGTTACTGAAAACTCTCGATTTCTAAAGGGGGGCTTTACCTGGAGGCCCCTTAATCGGTCCGTGCTCTAAATGAAGTTGATATTGATCGGTGTCACCAAAAATACCCATAATTTATTTGGCAGACATGGTTATACCTAAACAACATTTTATTATATCGTTCAGAGAGGCGAGCAAAAGATCGAACAGTTGGCATGCGTCATAAAAAAGCACCAGAAATTCCACAAATTCAGGCTCCAAGCACAAACGAAACAGGTCAAACTCCATCGCTTTCGGCATTGTGTAGTTATGTTTCGCAGAAAGAGAAGCAAGTTTCTGCTTCCAACTTTCTGCCGAAAGAGTTAAGCGAGGCCAAAGAAAAATAAACCGGAAAGGAAGAAGAAGTGTAGAATAAGTGGAGGCAACCGATGACTACCGTTTCAAGTTCCTGGGCCATCAAAATGCAGGGTCCGCACCAGGTTGCGTAGAAGTCCACGACTAGAGGAACAGTCCTCTCTCCCTTCACCAGCTCCTGCACCTCCTTGGCCGACACCTTCTTCTGCTCCCCACAAAACAGTTAGCGCTACAAGAGCAAACAACGGCTGGAAGAAACAACACATAAGTCGGAGAGAGATTGGCACCACAAGGTAGTCTTCTCTGATGTATTTGCCGTTGGGGAATCTGGAAACCATTCTGATGGTACTGCACCTCTTGGTGGCCGGAGCGAGGGGTTTGGAGGCGGTGGTGCGGCAAGTGAGGCCCAGACACGAGCGAAGATGGACCGAGGACGCGGGAGACTGGAAGCGATGTGAGGCCGAGAACGCCATGGTCGGCGACCACAGGGTCGCTGCGGTCGTCATCATCTCGCTCGATGAAGCCTGCCAAAGGAGGTGAAGGCCTAAATCTTATCCTCACTAGGTTGGTGTCCGTTGGGTTCCACTCGAACTTGGCCTTCCGGCCTAACCGTTTTCGTTCGCTCTCGGGCCGAGACTAAATGGATCGGACTCGGATGAGCTCAATGCCGACCGGAATTCAATCAATTGGAATGGAAGCGTCAAATCGGGCCTCTCCATTCTTTCTCCTCGTTATTTATGATTGGATCGTATTTAATTTCATATTGATTACTGTTAACAACTTGATACGATGGATCGAGAGTCAGTACGACTCAGATCTTATACTGAATGCATTAAATTGTCTATGTGAATCTTCTCAAGAGAGGGATGGAGTCGTTGAGGCCGAGTAAGGAATGACGAGAACGATTATGAGGTTATCTCGAGACGAAACTAAAGTATATTTGATTTCATCGGACCCTGCACAATAGGTTAATGTCGGAAGAGATTTCTGACCCGACCCATCTTATGCTAAGTTAGGTGATAGGAAATTAGTTATGTATTTGGTGAGAGTGTTTTTTGGACTAATCTCTTTTAGATGTTGGGACCTATTTTTATACCTACGGAGTTGATGGGAGATAACTACTATTATTAGGGTCACCTGTACCTCTTATGGCACATTCATGTGAGCCCCTGACCCCGTTCAACCCCTTATAGCATGGCATCAATTTGTACCGCTTCGTGCAGCACGGGACTAACAAGAGATAGTCGAGGGAGTGTCAATCGTCAGCCTAGTCCTCTTTTGCATTAGATAGATGTCATATTGTCCTTCACAGTAACTCCTGTATGATTACCGATCGATAACCTAGTGCTAGAATACTCCATATCAGTTGGTTTCATAGTAGTTGAGATACAATAAAGAACAAATACTAACTTATCATGTGATTTCATCCAAAATGATAAAATCACATAGTATCAACGACAATGAATTTTTTATTTTTTCAAGACAAAGGTAATTTCTCTCCAAAATATCGTTTTATGGGGCTAAAGGAGCTGACACTTATGGGTAGTGTGAATAATGTTACTTTGCTAATGGATTTTATTTGTTATCAAGGGTTTTGTTTATGTTTAAAACGATTTATTTTGCTAAATGTTGGTTTGATAAAGAACACGTACATGCAATTTGTATGACAAAAGCTTTAAAATTGACATCCTTAATATTACTTTATCTTAAATAATTTTCATCGTTAGATATGTATTAATAGAGATATTTGATCATTTGTGTATATGGTAATGAGTCGAGTCAATCATATCTATTTCAAGTGGCTTCCTTGATTGATTCGATTATAGCTGATTCAATCCAGATGATTTTATTTACATCTTTTGAGATCCAAGAAAAATCTATATTGATTTCGTATTTAAATATTTCAGGTCATGTCTGTAATACATATAAATAATATATTATTTGATGCTTTCTCTCCAATGCTTAGGTAAGAGGATATCGTATTGTGGTTAAAACACGATGAATTCAAATTAAAAGTAAAATTGTATATTCATGATAAAACAAAATATAAATGTTCTTCATGCTCGCTACTATATCTCAATAAGATTTGAACTCATGATTTTTTATTATGATATCATCTTAAATTTTTGATAAATACTAATACAGAAAAGAAATCATATCGGTAAATGCCACATCATCTTATATTTTTATATCTCCAGTAGTGTTATTAAGTAGTTTGTCGATCAATAGGATTTTAATTTAACCCTGTCTACTAAAAAATGATTAGATGATTTTTATTATTTTATATCATATTTATAATCACATGATAAAAGATTCATATTATTTTATTATTATTGTTGTTATGGTTATGATTATCGATGTTAATTTGGAAAATATTGATGGGTTTTTGGTGGAGTCCATTAATATCCGCGCATCAATAACGAAATCAAATAAAATTAGTGAATTAGTGCCACTGTTGACTGGGCCTGACTCGGGTCGCCGACGCAATGCGTTAGACCATCTGCGACCGTCTCCTTTAAGGAAAACCCTAATCTCCTTCTCTGCTTCTCCCCTGCTAGCTCGCGGTCTGGGCCATCGCCATCCCTCTTCCCAAAACCCTCGTCGACGAAGACGAAGGCTCCACCGTGCGGCACAGAATCCAAGCAGTCGGCGGTACCTCTCGCCGCCGCTGGTGGGTGAAGAAAGCGAGAGGAAGGAATGGCCAGCCTGCTGCTCCGCGCTCTCCGCAGGCCGCTCCGGCCTTTCTCATCAGCCCCCGTCTCTCCCTTCCCCTTCTACTGCAGAACTCCCTCCTCCTCCTTCCGCCTCTTCTCCTCCGCTGCCGCGCACGCCGCGGCGCCGCCCTCCCCCGCCAGGACCGCGCTGGACCCCAGCAGGATTCGCAACGTGGCCGTCATAGCCCACGTTGACCACGGGAAGACCACCCTCATGGACCGGCTCCTCCGCCAGTGCGGCGCCGACATCCCCCACGAGCGCGCCCTCGATTCCATCAGTCTCGAGCGCGAGCGCGGTATCACCATCGCCTCCAAGGTATCGCCCCTCCGTTGCCATATCCGTCGGTGGAACTTGGTTATGTAGTAAGCACGTCGAACAGCTTGCATGCGTCGGCTAATCTTGAATTTTGATATCTCTGTGCTTTTAGGTGACTTCGATTTCTTGGAAGGACAATGAGCTCAACATGGTTGATACTCCCGGCCATGCTGATTTTGGTGGAGAAGTAAGTGAACAAGTGAATACGACGAAGTGATTGATTGGTTTGGAATAGTAACATGATATTGTTTCATAGGTAGAAAGAGTTGTTGGGATGGTCGAGGGAGCTGTCTTGGTTGTTGATGCTGGGGAAGGCCCTCTGGCACAGACAAAGTTTGTTGTTGCAAAGGCTTTAAAGCTCGGTTTGCGTCCAATTCTTCTCTTGAACAAGGTTGACAGACCTTCGGGTATGCCTGATAATCCCTTACTGAACATAGTGCCTAAATGTTTCTTATATATTAACTTCTAAAGCCTAATGCTTTACCCAGTTTTTTGGTTCAAACATTAATAATAGGCATTGATGATTTTATCTTTGTTTACTTTGTAAGTTATCTGCTGTTATACTAGATGGTAAAAAAGGGCATGGTATTGAACGATTATGAAATGTAATGAGAATTTGTATGAGTTAGTTGTATGTCGCACTTGGTCTAATTAATTTTTGTCTCCGTCATCGCCTTAACATATTTCAAGTTTGCGCTGAAGCTTATTAAATTACGTGTATAACTATTATTGCAGTCCCCAGAATGAAACTTGGGTGGTTTTTGTTAATCTCAAACAGCTTATTGTTCCTCTTATCTTCAAAGTTCTTTCAAGAAGCTGAATACACACACAAGTTTGCTGGTGGTGATTTACCTAAGGAGCTTCTTAATTCTGAATATATTAGGCATCAAATTGACCTACGATCTCTTCTTCTGTGTCTCATAAATAGTGTCATTTTCTTTTCTATAGCAGTAACTTCATTAATGAATTGGCATACAACCAGATGAAGGCAGATTATTTACCTTCACTCGATTTCTTAAATTATCATTCAACAATAAGGGATGGCCACAGGGTGGTAGACCTGAGGTTTCTTTGAAGCAGTTTGCAGCAGGATACAGAGAATATACTTAAGATCCAAAGAATGGTATGCGGGTGCACTTCTTAGTAGAATGAACCAATTAGTTCTTCAAGTGGTAGGTTGTTTAGGTTTTTAGCTTCTTGTATTGCAGTTACTTTTGAATCCCACTTCTTAGAAAGAGAATGCAAAATCTTGTTTACGAGTTCAAAATCCAAAAAACATTTTCCAAGAGCTCTTAAACTATTGACGACATCCGTGAAACGGGTGTACATGTCACATATAGTCTCGCTTGGTTGCTTTCGAAAAAGCTCAAAATCATGCAATAAAATGTTTAACTTTCGAGTCTTTGACTCTACTAGTTCCCTCGTGCGTGATTTCAAATGTTCGCCAAATGTCAAAAGCCGTTTCGCACGTAGAAATCCGATTGAACTCATTTTTGTCCAAAGCGCAAAATAAGGTATTCATAGCCTTTGTGTTTAAAGAAAAATACTTCTTCTCCAAATCCGACCATTCGTTCATCGGTTTGGAGGGAAGTTGAAAACCGTTTTCAATGATATTCCATAAATTCAAATTCATAGAAATTAAGAAAACTCTCATTCGAGTTTTCCAATAAGTGTAGTCCAATCCGTTAAACAACGGTGGACGAACAACCGATAAGCCCTCTTGAAAGCCATGAAGAGCCATTTCTCTCGGGTGTAAATCCGAAATGAGAAATATTGGGCTCTGATACCAATTGTTAGGATCAAGAGCACTAAGAGGGGGGGAGGGGTGAATTAGTGCAGCGGAAAACCTTTTACGATAAAAACTGCGTTCGTTCGTTAAAAGTGATTTCGGTAAGAAAGCCGATTCGTAAATCACTTTAACTTTTGTTTAAGCGAGATGCAGCAAAGATATAAATGCAGTTTGCAGTTATGATTCAAATCCTTGATGAGTGGAGTTTGGACTTTTGTCTTTTCGAGGTTTTGGTTGCAGATTTGAAGTGAAATGGAAATAGTTAATGTAGGGTAATAAAGCTTCTAGGAGGCTGGAGTTTGTTGGGTTTCATTGTATTCTTTGGTGAGGTTTGGAGGAATGTTGAGGAGGCCTAAGTTGCTTCAAGTTGCCTTCCCATGCTGTGCAATTTAAAATGTATCAGCAGCAGAAGAAAAGATCGAAGGGGGAAGAGAAAATATGTGCTGTGTTGTGTTTCTACATGAATAATGAATTAAGGGTAACAATGACTAAATAATGGTATTTTACTTAGTTAATTTGTCTAATTATCATTATTCAGTAGCTGATAAAGCATGAGGTTACATCTGTTTGTTAAAGATGCAGGTAAATTTGATATATATGTTTATATTCTAATAGCAAGTTTGATATTCTTCTCTCTTGCAGTCTCTGAGGAGACATGCAATGAGGTTGAGAGCTTGGTGTTCGATCTTTTTGCAAATCTTGGTGCTACAGGTAGGCTTAGGTTTGAACTGAAGTGTTTTCAAAGGATTAAATTGTGTTGTGTTCATATAATATTGAGGTCCTCTTGATTATCATTTTGCAGAGGAACAGCTAGACTTCCCAGTTCTTTATGCATCTGCCAAAGAAGGTTGGGCTTCCTTAACATTCACAAAAAATCCTGTGGCTGATGCAAGGAACATGTCACCATTACTTGATGCCATTATAAAGCATGTTCCTTCTCCAGCAGCAAATCTTGAGGCCCCATTTCAGATGCTGGTTAGTATAATTGTTTCAGAAACATGTTACACAATTTAAATGGTAACAATGCTTAATTTTATGTTTGTATTATTAGTATGCAACTTGCAGCTTATTTTCAATGCATTATGTGCTTCATTCAATTTTGGAAGTTTGTTCATAATAAGACTTTGTAATATGTAATATTAAGCAGCATGCATATATAATTATGCAGAAGTCCTTGCCATTGTCATATGGAGAGATAAAAGTAAACTTTTGTGGTACAGAGTTGAACTTCCTAACAATGAATTTCTTTCTCTGGTGACACCATCGGAAATAAAGCGCTGACTATATTTGTTTACATGGTTGCAAAGTGTCTTATCTCAATAGCATTCTTTAGGATGATGTATTAGAACTTCTAACTGAAGCCGAGTTTTGCTTTTGGCATCTCTTTGTACCAAAACATGAGAAACATGAACTATAGTATCTTGCAGGTGTCCATGATGGAACGTGATTTTTATCTTGGGCGAATTTTGACCGGTCGTATTTCATCAGGAATCATCCATATAGGAGATAAAATTCACGGTCTGAGGTGCACAGATAATGGAGCTGAGAAGTTCGAGGAAGGAAAGGTTGGAAAATTAATAAATGGCTTTGCATCCATTTGTTGCCTGGCAGTTTACAGGCATGGTCAACCTTTGTCCGATCTGAACCTGTTCTGCATATCTTATTCTATCTGACTTATCATGTAGGTAACCAAGCTTATGAAAAAAAAGGGAACAAATATAATTATGATCGACAGTGCAGGAGCTGGTGATATCATATCTGTGGCTGGATTAACAAGTCCTTCAATTGGTCACACTGTGGCAAATGTTGAGGTTCGACATGTTCCGATATTTAATATTCTTGCATGTCAATAACTATGTACCTTGCCAAAATGAAAGATGTCATCAATTATTCCATTTAAAGTTGGTGCCAGGGTCCTATGCTTTTCAGTTATTTTCAGCATCAAAGTCCTGTGTCCTTTGGTATATTTTTGTTACTTAATATATTATGGTGCAAAGAGAACTTGTCCTACTCACATGAGTAATATTAGTGGAAATAACCAAGGTTCGCAATACCGTACCGTACCGATATTTCGATTTGGGCTCGGTACCGGTACGGTACGGTATACCGAGCGATACACCCAGGTGTGTTGAGTACTGTAGCACTACTACAGTGCTACAGTGCACTCGGACCGGTAACAGTCGGTCCGCGTACCGACAACCTGTCGGACCAGTACGTACCGCCCGTACCGGGCGGTACGGTTCGGTACGGCAAACCCTGGAAATAACTATTGTGAGAAGGGGCATTTGCAATATCCTTTTAACCATATGTATGGTCGCCCTGATCTTTTCGTATGTCGTTATGGTCCATTTGGTATGTGATGCATGTTGGTCCCAGTATGCGTTGGTTGGTTTGGGTGGATGGGTGAGCGGGGTTGCAATATGGATCTGGGCACACAAACCTCCATCTATTTTCATCAAGTTCATAAAATATTTGGAAGTTAAATTGCCGTTTTTATTTCTAAATCATATATGCATTTGTTGAAGTGGTTTATATGTGCTGAAAGATAATTGTACTTCAGGTCACAACTGCACTACCTACTGTTCAATTGGATCCGCCAACAATTTCTATGACTTTTGGTGTGAATGATTCCTCATTGGCTGGTCGCGATGGGACCCATGTAAGTAGCATAAAAACTATCACATGATTTTGTACGGTTAACTTTTTTATAGGTTGCTGCATCTTGTTCCCATGGTATATTATACAACAATAATGATAACAACAACAGAGCCATAAGTTCCGACGTTATTCTTTACCATGGTACATTATAAGAAAAAAATTATATTATTTTTAAATGCTTGGTTTGCCCATTCATATGTTTATTTGATTTGTTCCTAGTGTTTTTTGATGAACAATTTGGATTGTTATGTTAATCTGAGAAGCATCTTGTGTACACACCTGTGAGAATAGAAACCTTTTGCATATTTTCTTTATTATAAATGTAGGAATTGGAGTTTGTATACTTGTGATTTTCTAGTATCCCTATTCATGTCTTGCAGGTACAAATAATATTACTGGTTTATTAGGATAACAGAGGTCAAATTTCTGGAAGTTGCCAATGCTTATGTTGAATAGTTGATATTTAAACCACTTTGCACCTGAAATATCATTCAAAGATTGATTTCAATTAATAAGACATGGAGAGACATGCTTGTCATGGTTCATCTTACACGAATTCTCTTTTTTGTCATTGAATACATAACAACCTCTGCATAATGGCCATCTTTACCTTTTTTGCTTTATACCTTTTTTTTGTGTTTTTGCATCACAAAGTAGATAATGATACTTGTTATGCTGGTATAGCATATGGTTTATCTGAATTATTTCTGTGTTCATCCTTCCTTAATTCATTTTCTTTTTTTTCTGAACAATATGATTATAGTTGACCGGAGGAAAAATCGGGGATCGTCTGTTATCAGAAGCGGAAACAAATCTTGCAATAAATGTTCTTCCTGGACAATTATCAGATTCATATGAAGTTCAAGGAAGGGGCGAGCTTCAGTTAGGTTGTTATTTTTATAGTTTATTCATCTTATTTTTATTTACTTTTTATTTTATCATTTTTTACTTATCATTCAGTTTATTATTTGTTTGCAATTTGTTGTTTGTGTCAGATATTTTACCTTTTGTCAATTTTTCAGGTATATTAATCGAGAACATGAGACGCGAAGGATTTGAACTCTCAGTATCACCCCCAAGAGTGATGTAAGTTTTTGGCACTTCAGTGTAATTAACTCTTTTATTGATTGCATCTCAATGATCTCATATATCAGGGTTGAGACGTCTTTTTGCATTTTTGCATATAGATTTATACTGCAATGGGGCATCTGTAGTGCTACTCATCTTTGTTTACAATAATGATGCATCCTGCTAGGTTTAGGGAGTGCTGTTGTGACCTGCACTCATATCACTGATTGCTACTACATATCAACTACATATGTTAATTGTTTTAGATAAATGTGAAAATGATGTGGTTATGCATGGGCATGCATATCATATCTAATATGTCGGTATTCTTTTAGACAATGTATATCCTGTAGTATTGGTGTATGTTGTGTGCATGTGCATACATGTAGACCTATGTCTTATGTGATTAACCTTGGTACGTATCTTACACGATATATTATACAAAAAGTATAGTATCTCTGTTTACTAAAAAAATGACATTTTGTGCATACAACACACATATGCATGTACTGCTGCTGCTTTTGTGCATATGTATATATGCAAACATTGTAAGCAAAGGGTGAAGCCCCTTCAATTTTGCTTTGTATTGGACTGGTTGTTTCTCAGTTCTCATCACACTGATTTGAAGCTGTTATGGCTGTTTGAAGGGCTATCTGCACTTTCTGTGATTTTCAGATAAAGTTTGCTTCTCTACACTTTGATGGATGTACTGAATAACTTTGCTATTTGATAATTTCACTGCAAACTTTATCTGTACAAAGAACAGTTTTTAGAAAGTTTTGATTAAGAATTATTACTTTAGATGTAACATGCATAAGGTAGTGAAAGTTTTCTTTGTGGATGCAGGTATAAGATGGAGAACAACCAGAAGCTAGAGCCTATAGAAGAAGTAACGATTGAGGTACTCACTAGAACAACTTTGTTTGGTGAGCAATTTATTTTGTCAAATGAGCACATGAATTATGTGTAAGTTTATATTACAGGTTAATGATGAGCATGTTGGCCTTGTCATGGAAGCCCTTTCACATAGACGGGCTGAAGTGACGGACATGGGTCCTGTTCCAGGGACTACTGGCAGGACTAGAATGTCTTTGACTTGTCCCTCTAGGTTAGTGGCTACAGTTTGCTGCAGCTTTTTATATTTCACTGGTTTATCTGTGTAAAATTCATGTTTTTTGTTCCTTGTTTCAACAGTTTTAATTGTACAATGCAATCTTGTATTTTTTTAGTTTCAACATCAGATCTTTCCAAGATAAATTTGCTGATTAATATGGGTGATTCTTTGCTTAATTTGCAGTATCTCTGTTCTCTTAATTTTGTGATTGAGAACTTGTGATAGAAGTAGTAGGACATTGAACTACTAAAAGAATATAGATGGCTTCAGTAGCAAAGACTGAAATGCTCAGCACATTGGTTTCGTAGATCCGAAATTCTTTTCTGCAGTTTAGATAATTGATTAGGATCAGTTACTGTGCAATGCCTATAATTGGATGTTTAGTTACCTTATGCATGTTACATATCTGCAGTTTATTTGTTATCTTCTGGAACATAATTCTTTATGATTTTGTGTGATTGGATATCTGAATGATGTGTTCACTCCACTTTTCTGCATTGAATATATTTAAAGTTTTATATGGGATACTTGATAGTTACCTATTGCTTTCTTATTAGCTAGTTTAAATTTCATTTTTGTATGTGACATTTTATCCTCTGATTACTGCATATTGACTGAAAATATAAATATTTTCTAAAATCCTATTAAATTTAGTTAGAAGTCTTATTCCAAATGGTTAGAGATGTATATGGTCATTAGAGATTTTGGCATTTTTACTAACACAATGATTGTTTTGAAAAAGAAATTTATTAAGGGTGTTTTGGAATTTATCTCAGAAGTGACATTGAAATTTGAGTACCGATCAAAGTTTTGGCTTTGTTTAGACTAAAATTGCAACTGTATTCTACAAGTGACAGTTGGCCCCATTACTACGCAAGAGTCTACAACAACCCTTGTTCATATATAATGCACGTGACCACCACACAAGGATGATGAAGCTGAGCGTCTTTTTGTGATCCTTAGACTTGACTCATGCTATCTGTAATACCATTGAGTGGTTCATGCAAATGATATCAGAGCAACTAATATTGGATATGGTGTAGTGTTGGATATATTGGATATAGTGAGTGATTTGGGCATCTGGGTTTGATTCTAGACTATATTGGTCCTCCTTCAGTGGATGAGATTGTGGTGCCCTAATGTAGTTCCTTCAATGGATTCACAAAGGTTAGATGGGTCTACCACCATTAACTCAGGTTTAAATATTTTGAGTCAACGGTTCAATGTCAACAGGTTGGGTTAGTTACTCATCGTGCTGGGTCATGACATTGTCTCTCCAAAACAAGTGATACTTGTCTAGGTTTAAAATTTTTGCACAATAACTGTTTTGGCAAGACTTGTCAGATCGATATGGTACTAGTTTACTGAGCAGTAACAACCGATTTTGTCTAGTGTCACTCAAGTGAATATTAAAAAGACAAACATCGGAGATAGCAAGCTCTGTGGTCTGATAGACTGATGCTGGTCTTTGGTTGGACCAGTAAATACTGACTGACAATGTAATGGTTCGATATGTACAAAACCTTGTTACTTGAGTGTTACATTTGTTTGCAAATTGTAAAAGACAACACCTGCATTTTGAGTGACTAGACTATTTATGATTCTTTCCAAAGTTAAATTTGCATTCATGGTATCTCTTCCAATATGAGATGCTTCTCAGAAAAAGAACACTAAGTTCTATTGGTACTAAATGCATATCTCTACTACATGGTGCTGTAATTGGGGCTACCTGTTTTAAACAAAATTCAAAGCTAGTGAAAGCTGCACTTTGAAAAGATTGTATATAAGTGAATCATGTGACCCCAGTTTTTTTTAGAGCATATTTTTTTTAGTAGAGCCGGTATATTAAAGCCATGTGACATGATTTAACTTTTTTATCTCCACTTACAATCACAATGTACTTTGGCCTCCATGAACTTTGTCTGTTCATTACTTTGTTATACTTCCATGGTTCCACCTCCCAAAGCTTGTCAAATTACACAAACTAATTCCATAAAACACCATTTTAATCATTTTTGGATCATTTATTTATCTTAAAAGTACTGCATTGGATTTTTTTCTTAATGCAGGGGCCTAGTTGGGTATAGAAGTGTATTCAGCAGCGACACTCGTGGCACTGGATTCATGCACCGTGCTTTTTTATGTATGTACATTAGACTATATCATGCATGATAATTATGAAATTATGCATTTGTTATAGCCTTTCAGAGTTATTTTTATTTGTGTTTTTGTCAGTACCATCTTATGATTACTTCTCAGCTTGTTTTTGGCATATACTTTATGAGGGATTCTTCCATATTTTAATAGATGCTGCTTTAAGGTTTTGTTTGTACCATGGAATTGCTGTGAAAATCTCATTATTGAATTTAATAACAAACAAACCACAAAAATTGGTGTGTGGTGGTTTGGCTGCTCTCAGTTTCTTGTATTGCTATGCCTAACAGCATTTAGATGCAGAGCAAAATATAGATTCAACTGCAACTATTAAACAGCTTCAACTATTTCTCTAGAAAAAATAGTGAGTCCAATATTAAGGGCATCTATGACCAAAGTCATTAACTTTAATATTGATGGATCACCTCTGTTCTTTTGACTTTCCGGGTGCTCATATAAACAAATACTCTAGGGGTGAGTCAAATCAGGAGTAATAAGTTAGTTTTGAAGCAGTTGGATTCGTCAAATCTGGAGTTGTCATTATATAATTAGGAGAATGGTACCGATTTATTGGTGAAGCAGTATGCTCATTGTCAGATATTAAACTTTTTGTTCTCTGTACTTGAGTCACATGACTCTCCGGCAAGAGTTATGCACTACTTTCATAGGTGTAGGGTCACGACTATGGGTTCAAGGTACTGGTCTTGAAAGGTAGGGACTAACTTCCGATCCCATCTACATGGAATGTCAGCCGACACCCGGGTGGGCAGGCCTGCTCATGTAAGTGACCGTCTTTAGCATAAGACGGCTTGGGAAGTTATTGACTGAAAGTGCTTAGTGAGTCCGTAGTCCCTCTCTTGCCGAATCCTACCTACTTGCTGAATCCTATCTATACATGGAATAGCTTGAACTCATGGAACTCCCTGGAGTAAGATCCAAGAACCTTCTTTCGGGCATCCTACTTTCTAATTAAAATAGGATCAACTTTCTTCAACTTAAACAGCCCATGTAACTATTACGAGCACCTTTATTTCATCATTGCATGATAGCACAATAGCTTCATAAGAGATTCTTAACCAAATTAGGATTACAAGTTTTTTGATGTGTTCTACAATAATACGGCTATATTTATATATTTAGTAGCGAGTATGATTTCTGGTTGACGAGTTTGTAAGTTCTACAGTCGTGTAGTTTGAACTACCTTTGTCTTTTATTCTCTGAAGTATTTCTCTTATGGTACAAACTGGATGCCATTTTTTATGTACAAATTGTATTTCTTTGCAGCATACTCAAAGCATCGGGGTGCACTTGGGAATGTCAGGAAAGGAGTACTAGTAAGTCCTTCCCTGTCAATTCTATAAAAGTTTTAGTAATCGGTGAAATCTTGAACTACTATTAGTGTGAATCACTCCATTGAATAATTTGATGGAAAAACACTATTCAAATCAATTCCTTCTGTTGAAATTAAAAGTACTATTTAATAATAGTGTAAGCTATTAAATATTTATCAACAAATGACATTGTGTTCATCATGCAAAAGCACTAATTTTCTCATGAGTTTCCCTTCTTAAAAGTTGATCACAGAATCTGAAAACTGTCTTTGTAACTATGATTATATGTTGTCCAGCCGTGATTAGATTAATTATCCATTAACTGTCATATCAATCCCTTCATTGTTTTTTTAATATCCCAAATTGTAGTTCTTTCTATACTTAGGTTGTTAGTAACCTTATCCTTCAATGGTATCTCAACTATTGGAGTCTTGCACATTGATCCGTAGTAATTATCCAAATAGGTAGCACAGACTTAATAGAACCTTTGTTTTATATGTTATTACTAGCTTTCACATGACTGTGACACATCCATTATAAGGTCAGGAACTAGAAAGATCTAATGCTTGTATTTACTCCTGATAAGGAATGAATTGGCAAACTTATATAACTGCTATTAAAAACATTTTGATGTTTGATGAAGCAAACACTGCTATTGCAGACTGATATGACAATTTCATTGCATGTGACATCTTGTGACTTTTTCTTTCAATAAAAAAGATGATACAAGATGACTTCTCAGTCTAGTACTTTCACGTCCAACATATGCCTTAATTTGTTACAATTGCAAGATCTTCTTAATTGCTTCTGTAACAGATATCTGTTGGCAATGGAATCATCACTGCACATGCACTTATGAGTTTGGAAGCTCGTGGAACTCTCTTTGTCTCGCCTGGAATGGAGGTTATTCCTTGATGTGATTATCTTTCTTGCTGTTACCACCATAGGATTGACAGACTTATTACCTCTTATTTTGTGTCTGAAGACCTACGAGGGAATGATTGTTGGTGAACACTCACGTGATTCTGATCTTGATGTAAGGGGAATTTACTCATCAACTCTGATGTTTTTATTACTAATTTTCTATTTGCAATGATTGTACAAAATTGTTATGATTAGGTAAACCCTGTAAGGACGAAGGAGTTGACAAACATTCGAGCACCCGGGAAGGATGAAAATGTCAGGCTTTCCCCACCTCGTTTGGTATGTTCTTTTACAAGTGTTCAGCATTTTGTTTCAGGGGTACATCCTTCCATGTCAACTTTTGGTATTGGAATTTAACTTGTTTCATTGGAACCAAGCACATCTTGTTTTAGTTCACATTTTATTACTGCTATATGAACTATTCATGTTGGTGATAGTTCACTTTGGACCGTTGAATCCTCATAATCAATTTTTGCTTAAACTTTTGCAACATCGTTTTGCTTTTAGTGTCATCTAGAATAGAAATTGTGATTGTTAAACTTTGTCCTTTCTCGAGTTTTTTTCTACTTTTCATATATTATCTTTTCACATAAGATAGTATGCATGAATAACTTTATGTGGTTTTTGATTAAAGGCATAGATGAAATAATGTAGATCGTAACTATTTATTTTTTTAAAGGATGGAATCTCTTAAACACCATAAGGAATTTAGAAACCAGGAAAATGAAGTATAGACCTTAGTGTATACTATGAAGAGCTTTTGTTAAACGTATGCGAATAAAGATCATAAGAACCTTTACTAGGTTAAAAGCAAGATTAAGTGTACAATTGTTTTTCATGCTCTAAACATGAACATATTTAATTTGCATGTGTGGTTGAGCTAGTGCTCTTTTGGGAAAATTGAAGCCTTGACATAAAATCGATTATTAAACATATGAAAATGATGTACACCATTAACATGATTGGAATTATTAAAAGACATGGGTAATTAGCAAGAGTTCTTGCATTGCACTGGATCGAGCATTCAAAGAATGTAGTCCTAGATTGTAGCTCTGTATGAGCAACTTGAATGTAGCAGTTTTTGCAGCAGGAGCTGAAGTTGAGTAGATGGGATGATTAGGACAAAACATAGCACAGACCTTGCTGACTTTTTTTTTGGTAAACAAAATGTGCAGATGAGTCTAGAAGAGGCCATTGGTTATGTTGCTTCTGATGAGCTTATCGAGGTAAGTCTTCTTCTAATGGTTCCCTTCCAATCTTGTGTTGATTTGTCATGCCTCTTATCTGTGAATGAACTCATTATTCCCACAGGTAACGCCAAAAGCCGTGAGATTGAGAAAAAGATATCTCGATGCCAATAAAAGGAAGATGATGAAAAATAAGCCAAAAGATTGAAGACAGAATATTAACTGTACATTTATTGGCTATGAAGGAGATGGAGATTGAACGACACAAAGTTGCATCATGACACACAGTTGACACCAAATTATTACTATTATTATTATTATTATCATCATCATTATCATGTTTTGATGGACCAAAAATTTTTGATATTTGAGCATTTTTTAAAGATGTATTTCGAATTGATGAATAAGCAATCAAATAGAATTTGATGCTGCTACGGGAAAATATATATTCATGTTACGATGGAATGAAAATATATATTGATAAAAGACAATGTTTTATTCATGGATAATTTTGAGGTTGAGCAGTGATGTTGCACCTAAATTCTATGTAAAATTTATCTTTTATTATCATTGTTGATAATGCTATTATTATCAGTAGTATTAATATCATTATCTTTTCCCTCTTTTATTTTTTTTAAGTAGGTCTGGTAATCCACACTGTTGTTAATGCTTCTCTTGGCTGGTACTGATGTCATTTATTTTTTCTTGAAAAGGTTACTGAGGTGTTTGATATCTTATTCAAACACATACCTAAGGGTAGTCCCAAGGAAGTGGCTCCAAGAAATCAAACCTCATCTCCAAAGTTCCAACAGTATACTTGAAGGCCTCTCATTAAATGCCTACACAACCCTAGCCCTAGGAAATTACTTGGCTGCAGTATACTTGGAACGGAAAATGATATGCTCTATGGTCCAAGTATTCCCAGATCATCCCCCTGCCATATGGTTGCAGGCTTTAGGGCGGCCTGATCAGCTAGGGTAAATAGGAAAATCACTGTGGAAAACTACGAAATGTATGATTCTTAACACTGTTCTAGGTCAAAAATAAAAGGGTACAAAAAGGCATCATCCATGCTTGGGGAATCTCTCTGCCGAAGCTCGTACGATACACTAATGATAGTGAGAGAACAACCACTATGCAGGATTAAGAATAATCTCGAGCAATGGAGAAGAAATCAATCGGGAGTCGTTTACCAACTGCTGATTGAGAAGGAAAAGCCAGGGGTTTTCCCCACAGTAATCAATCTCTTCCGTCCAGGCCATCCAGGAAAGGACGGGTGAAGCATGCACAGGAGAGTCTGGTTGCAGTGGATTCAAGCTACAATTCCCCAGTGGATATCACTAAACAATGCATGCATGTCGCTTCACGTAGCCCTTCCTCGGCCAAACTAGACGACAACCTGCCTGCTGCTTCTTTATTTCTCCTAAAGCAAGAAAGATTAGTTGCTGCTGCACCTGCACATGATGCAGCACCAACAGCGGCCCTCGTCAGGCGCCGACCTCGCTTCGACTCGCTCCAAAATTTTCCGTGCCATGGCCGCAGGTCTGCAGCGAGGCTTCCTAACTCCTCCCACCTCAACCCCACCCTGCTGCGATCCGCGGAGTTCTGCATGCACTCAACACCCAAAAGTCCGGTCCAACTTGGTACTTCAAAATCTCTGCTGCATGTGCTTGGGGGAGTGCATGCATTTAGAGCGAGGCATGTTGGTGCATTAATGCCGTGCACGTGAGCTTGTGGATGATCGTTGTTTGCGAAGCGACTTCCATTTCTCTCTCTCTCTCTCCCCGTTATCCTCCTCAGACCTCAAACCGTATGCATGTTGATGTTCCCATATCGATGCATAGGAGCATTCACTGTGGCCCATGTGAAGTGTGAAGGCTGTACTTTAAACCCCATTTTGCACGTAAAGCATGTAACCTATTATGTGGTAGGAGGATTAGGGACTTATAATTAGTTAGAACTTATAACTCTTCGTGAATGTGATTAAAATATATCTTTAAATTGAGTGACATATATATATATATATATATATGTATATATATATAAGCCATGTCAATCCGGCTTCCCTTGGACTGCAATTCTCTCTTCTTTTCCATCTTCACAGTAGGCAGAGTGCTATCGGGGTGAGTTGCCTTGGGGGATGACCACAATAAATAGTGTTTCCATTTACACGGCATGAAGATTCCCGACACAGGCGCTTTTATTAGCTCTCAGCCAACTAACTCCACACTACCCCGCCATTGCTGCTGCTTGCATTGAGAGAGAGAGAGAGCGAGAGAGAAAGTCTTTCTTCAGCAGCTTTTTCTTTCTCCTTCTCTCATGGATGATAGGTGTAGAGAGAGAGAGAGAGAGAGAGAGTCTTTGTTCAGCAGCTTTTTCTTCTCTTTCTCTTATGGATGATAGATATGGACACACCGTCACGCTGGTTTGCTTGAGTGATCATCCGATTCCACGCATACACAACGGAGAACCGCACACCTCCACACGTCGCCGTCACCTCACTCCACCCAGGACACATTTTGCTCCATTGCTGGTATTGGCGATGGGATTGGCGTCCCGCAGTTTTCGCTCCACCGTACAAGACATCTGAGTCATTCAACCCTCTTATTTTATGCCTCCCCTCCTAAATGAAGTAATCCATTCTTTGAGATCTGTGGCCACAATAATACCATACAGTCGATGGCCATCTTTGCTTCCTCTCTCTCTCTCTCTCTACTCTTTGCAGTAGATTTTATGCGAAGAAGATCACCGATCTCACCATCATCAAAAGCTTCTCTAACTACGTTTTGAAGACTACCGAAGAGTAGTACGTGCAATCAATCAACAGAAAGAATGGCGTTGGCAGAAGAGGAGAGAGTGAGGGCTTGGGCGATGCCATGAGTGCTCCATGCGTGTGCATCAAAGAGCATAACATCTCTCAGTTTAGATCAGAACATAATGTTTGTTTGAAATTTCGGGTCAGATTAGGTTTAGATTTTTGGGGTACTTTCTGCATCGACACTCATATGGTTGGTGTCAAATTCTTGTTCACTTCAACCTCATTACTTCATTGTAATTTCTTACTCTTTAAAAGATAAATATATGGAGTGCTAATAACTAAAATGATCTCAATTTTTCTGAGAGTCAAATTCCACAAAGTATCCAATGGCAGAGAAGTTCATATTGGATTGACTAAGTTGAGATCATCATAAGAAATATTAAGCTCATGATATGAGTCATTCACACCCACATACCAATTTTAAGTGGCAGCCATCAATGCTATTAATTCAGCCATAGAAATTGTGTCTAATACATAACAGCAGTTATGATCCATATAGCACATACGGAGATTATATTATCAGAAAAGAAAATGATCATTATAACTTGTTCTTTTCCTGATTTATTCCGTAAAAGAATGCTTGTCATCAAGTTCCATCAAACAGCAAATCTAATCATGTGAAACAGCCCATGAGTTTCTTAAGGTTGCCAAATCTCTCTCTCTCTCTCTCTCTCTAGATGAGCTCCATGCTCCATATATGGTTTCAAATCATACATACTGGTTGCTAGATTTCCACCAAACTTCACATTTTCATGAAAGCCAACCATAAGATGAATTCAGTTTCTGTTTGAAGGTTTATGGGAAACTTGGTGTCTTTTTTCCTTCTAATCAATATCGACTGCAAAAGAATACAAAAATAAATAGCGGATAAAAGAATGGGTGAGTTGACTTTGATAGTTCCAACATTCTCACAAACTACAATAAGAAACAGAAGAGGAAGAGAAAGACAGTATTGACTTAGAGGGAGAATGAGTATATGTTTCTTTTATAACTCACCTTTTTCTCACTGCGATATTCAAATTATGATTTGTCCTTTCTAATTTTTGGAGTTTTCTCTGAGCTATCTTTCGAATTACATAACATATATCTAAGTGCAGAGTGAGGAAGCAAGAGAGAAACTAAGTATCTGAAGAACAAGTCAACAGAAGGCCTTTGATTTCAACCATTCCAACACAATTATCTCCATATTCTTGTTAGCTAATTATTTTGCAGAGTTCTTCTGCTTAGTTGATCTTGTAATGGTTAATTAGTCCGGTCAATCAAAGTAGTATGCCATTACCTGTATCATCCAGAGATTATACTGTGATCCAATATTATTATCTTAACCTATTTATTATTCTTGGTCTAATGGTTGATTACATTTTCAAAATCAACATCAATATAAAGATGAATTTTATATCGTCAATTTATGATTAATTTTTCATTATAATTGTTCCCTTTTTTCCCTATTATTTTAACATGTTACGACTCGAGCCTAAAAAGCTCGACTAATCAAATCGGTATTCAAATCTCACCCACTTCAATTTTTGATGTCCTCATTATATCCAATATTTAGGATGATATATATATATATATATATATAAAATAATGCAAGAGTTGAAAGTGTTATGATCCACCAGATAATTTTTGCCATGCCTAATGCATGTGCTTATCAAGCCAAAGACACATGGATGTCACAATATATCTCAATGTGGCTAGCACACGCTGAACATTTGTTATTTTGATGATATATTCTTCACAACCTGAGCAAGGTTGAATAAAGAAAAGGAGTTACTGAGAAGAATGCTCCTCTATGGGTAATAATAACTCACACAACTTATGTAAGACTAATATATGGAGAGAGAGAGAGAGAGAGAGAGAGAGTAATGATTATTTCCTCTAAACATATGATATAGAAATTTGATGCCATGTTAGTGTTGTTCTCTAAAGATTTATACTACTTTTATGGCACTTGTCATGCTAGTTGAGACTTAGAAGAAGCAAATTTGGAGAGAGGGAATAGGAATTATTGTATCTAAACATATGCTGTAGAAATTTCATGACATGTTGGTGTTGTTCTTGAAAGATTTCTACTGCTTTTTTTGCACTTATCATACCTACTAAGCAAAGACTCAGTTTCTCTAAAGATATGTTGCAGATATAACATATCAGTGTTGTTTTCTAAAGATTTCTGCTGCTTTGACTGCACTGATCATTCTAAAAAGTTAAGGCTCCTGAAGGAGTTAACTTGGAGAGAGGGAGTAAGAAATAACATGTCAGTGTTGTTCTCTAAAGATTTCTACTGCTTTTGTTGCACTTGTCATACTAAGTTGAGACTTTGGAGAGAGAAAATAAGAACCATTATAGTGAAATTTGATGGCATGGTAGTGATGTTCTGCAAAGAGTTCTACTGCTGCTTTTATTGCACTTATGATACTAAGTCGAGACTTTGAAGGAGTTTGGAGAAAAGGGTAGAAAAGCAGAGCCCTCGAGTCAATCCAATCGCGCACCTCTCCATGCCCGAAATAACCCAAACCTGCAATTACTACTCCCCATCTCTTTTCCCAATCAAAGCTTCTTTTCATGCTTTCTTCTTCACCTTTAAATCCCCACCACCTCCCATTTATTCCCGCAACAACCTCATCCATTACAATAATTCTACGCTCCCACTCCAGCAAGAACACACCGAACGAGACCGAGAGGCAGCAGCAGATGATGATGGTTCAAGTGATGGTAATTCTGCTGTGATGATGCTTGTTTAGATGACTCGGTTTTATGCTTCCTCTTCCTCCCTTTTTGCCCTTTGGTCGACTGCAACTCGCAATCCAAAACAAGACTCATCCTTTCCCTTGTGATAGCCACGGCAAAAGCTATCTTCGTTGCCTCGCCCGATGGCATGCGGTACAAACGAAGCCCCAGCAGAAGGATGGGGTGGGTTGCCTTGTCTTTCTTGCTCGGCGCACGGGGGAATTCCTGCGTACTTACTTTTTGATTGGTGGCGTTAGCGTTGGAGTTTTAATGCCGATTACCACCTCTTCCCTCCTCCTCTTCTCTCCTGCTGCGTCACCGTCACCTCTCATGCATATATAGAGCTATAGAGATATGTTCTTGGGGTTTAGTGGACGGAGATCGTTGTTGTATTTTAATGGCTGTTCCTTTAATATCTCCACAATGAATACATATCTTATTAGGTGCGAGAAATTGAAGGCAGGAGGAGTAGGTGGAGGCTATTATAAGAAAGGGGAGACTTTGGGGTGTCGTGCGTCCAAGGAGGGTCGAGGCGTCGAGGTTGCAGTACCAGGAAGCAAAAGAGTAGGAGGATCTCACATCCTGCATCGCCCCTTCCTTTTGCTCTGCTGCTGCTGCTGCTGCTGCTGCTGTTCCCCACTGGCTGCCTCCTCTGATCGACCTTTCTTTCATCCCACCACCAGACACAGAGCATCCCTCACCATCATCATCATCATCATCATCATGGCCTCATCCAACAGGCACTGGCCTAGCATGTTCAAGTCCAAACCCTGCAACGCCCACCACCACCAATGGCAGCATGACATCAACTCCTGTCACCAGAAAACTCCCTACGCTTCAGGTGACGCTCGCGACCATGACATATACCTGCTGTTCTATAGCTGGTGGAAGCTCGATGATTCCTTCTTTCATCAGTCTTAGCTTCGGTACATGTGTGTACTTACTTGGTCGTGCTGTGTTAACCAATCGCCATGCAAATGATGTGAATGAACAGTTGTGTTTGTGGAGCAGAAGGAATAAGCTGCAGGATTAGGGTTAGGGTTTTTATGCGTCGTGTACACCGACACTAACTCATCCATGGCGGTGACGGACAGGTTTTGAGGAGCGCAGCCCGGAGCCGAAGCCGAGATGGAACCCTAAGCCGGAGCAGATCCGCATCCTGGAAGCCATCTTCAACTCCGGCATGGTGAACCCACCGCGCGACGAGATTCGAAGGATCCGAGCGCAGCTGCAGGAGTACGGCCAGGTCGGCGACGCCAACGTCTTCTACTGGTTCCAGAACCGTAAGTCCCGGAGCAAGAACAAGCAGCGCCACCTCCAAGCCACCCGATCGCAGACGCAGCCTTCTTCCGCTGCTCCATCCCCTCCGCCCGTAGCCACCAAGCCCACCAGCACCGCCACGTCTTCGTCCTCCTCATCCTCCGAACAATCGACCGGGTCTGACAAAACCCAACTTCCGGTGGCCTCCATGGGCGGCGCCCTGACGAGCATGGTCCATTCAGCAGCGCCTCTGCCGGTGACATCAGTGAACCCGATGTACCTCCACGGTTCGCTGGAGTTGGGCGGCGAGTCTTTTCTTCTGCAGGGTCCGCAGGGATACTGCTTCCCAGCGGCAGAGCTAACAGGAATCATCGGTGTGCCAGAGCACGGCACGGGGGTGCACCCCGGACCGTGGGGTGACCTCATGGGCTTCAAGAGTGGGGAAGACGATGCCAAGGTTACGGTGCAGTTGCACCACCTCTATGGAACCGGATCTTCGTCTGCCCCTTCTGTTGCCACTACAGTTACCAGCGCCAATGCCTCCGGTGGTGGTGGTGCAACAGCCGGTGTTGCTGCTACTGCCGCTATCTTTGGTAGCTCCATCGATGAGATACAAGGTATGTCGCATTAATTCTCTGATGTGCCTCTCTCATTTGCACATCGAGCGATGATGTTTCTATCTTGTCTAATCCTCTCTGCATCTATCTCATCTCAGCGTGGTGTGTGTTTTCACTTCAATATCTTTGCTTTTGCCAACAAGTACATGAACAGAAGAGGCTATGTGTAGGTAACCCTCCCTACAATGCTCCCACAACTGGGAGCTGACCCATCCGTCACTCGCTAATTCTCACGAAGCTGATCTCACTCTTCTAATCTTTTCCTCGTCCCAGAAGGGAAAGAGGCCTGCTAACATCTTCGTGCACGAGATCTGGTGATGACAAGAGATATTACAGAATAAAAGATTGTGTGTGTGTGTGTGAGAGAGAGAGAAATATGATTGAGGGGATTGATCGGGGAGGGGGTTTACATGAGAAAGTAGCCTCTATGTGGTCATGTCATTGGAGATTCTCGAGTGCGGGGAGAGGGGTTTATACGCGTACGTTGTTGAAAAGATAGAGAGGATGGTGGTCATGGTTTCCTCCTCATCCTCCCCCTCCTCCTCACTCACCATAGGCATTCGATCTTAGCTTCCACATTATAGCGCTGTTACCTAGATTGGACGTGTGCATGGCATTGAAATCCGCCAAGTACTTCACCAGCACGTAATCCCTTCCTCTTCCAACCACAATTATGCCTCCATTTACATTATCCGTCCCTTTAATACGTTCATACCCCCCATGTCTTCTTCTTCCTCTGCTACAGTGATGGGAGTTGGAGGATCAGGTGGTGCAGCAGCAGCGAGATCGACCGTGTTCATCAATGAGGTGGCTTTCGAGGTGGCGGCTGGGCCGGTGAACGTGAGGGAGGCCTTCGGACACGAAGCCATCCTCATCGACCATTCCGGCCGCCCTGTGCTCACCGATGAGTGGGGCGTCACCATCCATCCCCTCCGACATGGAGCCTCCTACTACCTGGTCCTCTCTCTCTCTCTCTCTCTCTATTTTATGCTACTATGGATTTCTTCTTCTTCTTCATCTAATGCTGTTGTAATGCAGGTTTAGAAGAACGACGATGGTGAGGCAGAATCTATCTATAAGCTTGTTTTGCTTGTGGTTTTAGCACTCCAATATGCTGCAGTACTGTCGTAGCTCTACTTTCGGACTATGTAGCTCAGTTTTGCAAGTTATTTACAAGTACTTTTGGGCTATGTGATGTAACTGATGGATATTATCTTTATCATGCATTTTTCTATCCTACATTACATAAATGCTGGCCTCCAATTTATCTGTCTCGCTGCACCAACAAATATTTGCCACTGGATTAACAACATGAGCTATGGATGCCCATAATCAACTACTCCTTGTGATCGATAACACGTACATAAAAGATCACTCGATGATCGACTGCTAGTTATGTGATGGTGGCAACCATTAGAATGCCATGTCCTCTTACCTTGGCATACCTCATGCTGAAGCATTCAAAGAAAAACTAGCTGGGAAGCCGCATCATTTGGGGTAGAGTGGGCATCATCATCATCATCATGTATGTGTCCATCTTCGAATTATAAATGTGAACTCTCGATATCTGTCTGGAAGATCGACTTGTTCTGGCAATAAATACCAAGAGAAATGCAGTGGCTGAGTTGGTGCAGGCGAAGAGAGGGGGGGAGAGTGAGAGAGAGAGAGAGAGAGTTGTAGGTGTCAAACAACAGTGGGCAAACGTGAACGCATCAATCTGCTGACCGAAACGGATGTTTGACTGACAAGAGAGAGTCAAAAAAGCAGGTTTGTCGTCAAAGGAACACAGTGTTGTAACGTAGGATCACAACATCACGTAATAGGCCTGCGCCCACAACAATAGGCTCCTATACTTGGCCATTCTAGTGACTTGCCCTTGTCCTCCATTGCAAAGGACCTCTCTCTCTCTCTCTCTCTCTTATGTATATATGTTAAACAGTCAAGACATCATATTGGAATGTGAGGAGTAAAATGTAAGAGAAACATTCAAGCTGTTGCTGATTACTCTTTCCAATAATGGATGTTGGTGTTAAAGTGATTACACTAGTGAGGATGATCTATATAGTTATATACACATATACACCTTCATGTTTCATATAGCCTATACCTTCATAGGAGTACTTTGCACCTATATTTGATTGTTCAAAACCTTTTGTGTTGAAGTTGAAATAAAGATAAATAAAAATAAAAAAAAGTTGAAATAAATCATCTTTAAGTTTTATTTAGTTAAACATCAACTATATCCATTAGTAAATATAAAATTGTATATTGTAGACAATTATGTTAATTATTATAAATTATCGAAAGGTTGTGAAAAATTCATAACCAAAATAAAATTATTAATTTGTTAAAAATTAATTATTATTATAAATTATTAATTTGTTGCGGTGGGACTGGGTGGCGCAACGCTGAATAACGCGGGGAAATGATCGTTGCATCCCGGATTATCGACGACACATCTATCATTACTCTATCTCCCTCCTGAGGTCTTGTGCTCATACTGATGTGACGGGGTTAGGTCCCTATCACCAATCATATCATAAGTTAATCATAAGATTAGGATACTTTATATGTTTATATTACTATGGATTCATCTATAGCCTATAAAATAATAATACTCTTTTTATTTTTCTCAAGTAGTCAAAGCCTTCGTCCTAAAGCTTTACCGATTCTAATGTTTGGTGAATGGAAAACCACGCTACATGATCGACTCTGTCAGACCTCCGACCAAGTCCTCCTTTCAACGAGAAGACAAGAAGATTTCACATGCAAATCACTTTGGGTGTTCTTCTTAGATCTTTACCTATTTGACTTGGCATTCCTTTGCATGTGTAGATGCAATTTCTTTTTATCGAATAATCAAGGAAGAAAATTCCAAAACTAGTATTTAATTTATACATCAACTTAGAGATTTTGTGTTTGTTTGTATTTTTTTTTTCTAATTTTTTTTTCAGAAATAGAAAGTTGTGAATATGTTGATAGACATATTTTTGTCAATCAATTGATTTAAGAAATACTTTCAAAGTTGAACGTTTCAAATTTTGAACTTTTCTTTTTCTCATAGGAGAATTGACATTTCTTTGAATGTGTTTTTACATATCTATCCTTTCAAGCATTATTGGGCTTTAGCTTATTTATCCTTATCAGTGCCTTTAGTCTATGCTCTCTATAAATCTTAGATAAAATATTAAATATATAAAAATTATAATATTTCTAAGATTTTGAAACTCTAATTTACAGTAATATCTTTTAAAAGCTCTCATTTTATTTCATATATATATATATATATATATATATATATATATTAAATTGAGCCCAATTAATATTTTAAATAGTAATATAACACATATACATAAATAATTATAATATATTATATTGACATTTATAATAATGTATGTCTGTCGAAGGGCATATATGTAAAAATAATAATATTTATTGTAAAGTGCGAAGGGAAAGAGACGCCCGTCGCGCCTCCTCCGAAGCGTTTCCTCCGCAAGACGAGCCGTTCCCGCTTACTTCGAGACGAAGCAACAGCGGACTCGGATTCCTCCGGTCAGTAAGCGACACAGAGCTCGGATCCGGTCAGCGAGAGAAGCGGCGACGTTTGCGTTGTCGGCGGCGCCGGTGGCGGTGGCAGAGGAATGGCCTACAGGTCGGATGACGACTACGACTACCTCGTCAAGGTTGTGCTCATCGGCGACTCCGGCGTCGGGAAATCCAACCTCCTCTCCCGGTTCACCCGCAACGAGTTCAACCTCGAGTCCAAGTCCACCATCGGCGTGGAGTTCGCCACCCGGAGCATACGCGTCGAGGATAAGGTCGTCAGGGCGCAGATTTGGGACACAGCCGGCCAAGAAAGGTTCGATTCGATACTCCTACATATCCTGATGATCTGGAAGAATCGGTTTCTTTTTCTGCTACTTTTCCTAATTACCATTTCCAGAAGCTCCGATCGGACATGGGGCGGTGTGTTCTTGTAAGATCTTGCGCCGGCTAGTTTGGATCCGACGGAAATTAGGGTTCTCTTAGTTGGGTGGTCGTTGCAAATCAGTTGTTGGGCTTGATGCGAATGATACGCTGTTTTTCAGATCATCTATTGCGGGGATCAAGGAAGTCTCTATGATCACATATTAGCGTCCATAAGACTCTCTTGAATCTTCTTCTATGTGGAGCAATTGAGTTTCGGGAGGACTAATTTAGGGTTTGAATCGATCGTATACTTTACTATATGGTGCTGGACAAGTTAGCTAGATAGAGGAGAGATATATAGAAGGAGAGGATTGCTTGGTAGGGTAATTATTAAAAGAAGTTATGCAGTTCAAGGTCTCATCATCGTTCCTATCATTTGCTAATTCATGGTTGAGTATATGCAATGTTGTAGTCTACAAACAGATAAATTATGGTTTTATGTATAGATATATTGTAGTTTTGATTTCCTAAGAATCAGCTTATTAAATTTAGCCCATCTGTCCTCCGTGTGGGAGTTTTCTTGGTCATATGCTTTTAATTGTGGCCAGTATTTCAGATTGCTTCACTACCTGTGAATGAAAATGCTGGTGCAAGTTAATGACTTGCATCATCAATCCTTATAGAATATGAACTTGTAAAAGACAGCTAATGGAAAACAATTTTCTTCCCGAATAGGTAACTTGGTCTTTTCGTGCTTACGGGTATTGCTTGAAGTTCTTTCTGTTCCTAAGTTAAAAATAAGATTCTTTCATTTGTCTTGCCTCGTACGACTCTCGATACCCTTATATGATTTTAGTTTTTGCTGCCACTTCCTAAGTGCTGAAAAAAGTCAAAGTGTTAGTCGAGTTGTACACTAAGTTCCCCAGATTGAAAATAGATCCATATCTTGTAAGGGAAAAGAGAACAAAAATGCAAGCAGGATAGGCATGTTATCAATTTGTAAGATGCTGATTCTATTACAAAAAATTTCATATGTTCTCTTTGTTGTACCTTAATTTCTTCCAAGGGCTTTGCATGTATGAAAACCTTAGTTTTCTTCTACAGTGTTTACAGCATCTATGATCGCAAGCATATGCTTGAAAACTCTAGGCATCTAGAGTTTTCGAGGTTGATTGATGTTGTACTGATGCTAGAAATTAGGAAGACTGCTTACCTAAATTGAAATTTTGCTTGCTTTACTTTGGTTGATACGGTTAGAAGTTCCCTTTAAGCAAATGCATGGTAGGAAAATTGCCCATGGATGTCAATATCAAAACTAGGGTGGTGATCACGGCAGGTTAAGTTGATTTAGGTCTGGTTGGATTATAGGTTATTAAATATAAGGGTAGCTCGAGCCCAATCTTCTGCGCCTGGAGGTCAAGATTTTTTTTACATGTACCTACCTGTCTGCCTAATGGTTTTGTTTGATCTGTCAGACCCTAGAATATATGTCCAACTTGAACCAACCCATCAATGGATTAAGATTTCTTGATTGAGATCTGATCCTTGAACAGAACAAGCTATACTAAGTGGATCAGGTCAGACTGACCCAACGGGTTTGGCTCAAGATTGCCACTTCCAGTCCAAAATGCCTATTGGAGCAGGTTTTGACGCTAGAATGCATCCTGGTCTTTGGACCTTGGTCCTTTGGTATAGTAGTTTTTGATCTTGATTGTAGTGTATCTAAACTATACACATGCATACCTACATGTTCACAAGCTAACATATGGACAAGATACTTTTCCAAAGGAATACATGAAATTGAGATATGACCATGAATGAACAGTGTATATATATATATATATATATATATATATATATATATATATATATATATATATATATATATATATATATATATATATAT